TCCACCTATTTTCCTCCTCCTCTCTCTCTCTCTCTCTCTCTCCTCTTTTTTTCGGCCTCCCTCCGTCTCTCTTCCTCCCCTATCTCCGCTTGGCTCGCAAGCAACGTTAGACCCGGCGGAACTAATTACCGCCCCGTCTCACACGAAGCTGCGAAGTCAATTTCAGCTTACACGTAACGTTTACGTTTATCGAACGAGTCGCGTTGCCCAGGAATTCCATTTTCCACGAGGGGGGAAAAAAATGAAGAAAACGACGGGGGGCAGAGAGAGAGAGAGAGAGAGAATTTCCACGCGCGAAAAACTTAATCGACTTTGACTCGACTTTGGCTACCCGGTCAGAGCTCGTAAAAGCGAAAACGTGAAGGCAGACTCTGAAACATTTTTATTACTTCAGATTCCTTCCTCCTCCCTGCTTGGAAAGTAGAACGATACCGCGTATGGTCAGACGCGGCTTATGCCCATCCATATCTCTCGAAATTCCCGTCGCTTTATCTTATCGTTGAATCCGTCTAAATGTTGCACGAGTAAACTTCCCTCCTCGCGAATTATCGTGGACGCAACAACGATCTCGAGTCCGTGAAAATATCGCAATTTTACCGGAAAAGTGGAGAGAGAGAATTTTATCGAAACACCATCGTTCGATCGAAAAATAAATATCGATCGAAATTAACACGAAATTCGTAAAATCTCGTCGGCACGAGAGAACGTTCGAAATCTGTCACGGCCTAAGTCTCTCTCTCTCTCTCTTTCTCGAGAAAAGTAAGACGATTTCCGCTGAGAACGCGAAAACTTTTCCGGGATAGGATCCGCGAGCATCTGGTACGCGGATTTATTTCACACACATGGAATGATATGGAGGGTGAGCCTCGCCGCGAGTGTCACCAAATTTCGAAAGCTCGCTCGTGCTTTGCGTTCGTCTGCAACCGATGCAAGTTTTCGCTATTTTTCAGGGGCGGTAATCCACGCACCGTCCGAATTCCTTTCCAAACGGATTCCGACGCGTTGGAAAAATGTCGGATACTTTTTATCGCGTCCTCCTCGCGTAATGGAACAACATTCGCAACGTGATTTTCGGCAAAATGGAACCGTGTCGTAACGATAATTCATTGCCACGAGATTGCTGCTTTAACGACGCGGTTAATCTCGATAATAGGATAAAACGTATCAAAGAGTGTATAAAAAAAAAAAAAAATAGAAAACGCTCTCGAAAATATACGTAGTTCGAAAAAACGGTTCGCCGCACACGCATTCGGCGAAACGAAACTTATAATCCGCATACGCGAGTTACGCTTGAGGATCCCCCGCCCGCGGGCCCGAGTTTTCTCTACAACAACTCTCGCGAAAAGTAAAACGAAACTTTTTACGCGTTTATAAGCTTCTTACGAATGTTTTACCATCTCCATCCGGTATTCCGCTATTCTTCTTCCTTAGGAAACACCTTACACCGCAACCCACCGATCTTCGACATCTACTTCGAAATCGCTCCAATTTTCCATCCGCCGTTTTTTTCCTTTCCTTTTTTTCCATTCCCAAGAAACAGGAAAGTTTCGGAAAAACTCGCAGCAAAGTAAAGTAAAGCAAAGTAAGGATGTTTGAAGGAAGATGGAGGGGGGCGGAAGGGTAATTTTAATAACGGGCGAGGCGGTTGGAAGGTAGGCTCCGGGACAAAGTGGCTCGGTCGTTTTAATCTCCGCAAGAAAGGGCTGCTAATCCCGGTGGCCCTGTTTGATCGCGCGGGACATACTCGTGTTCCTTGTTTTAACGCCGCAGCCTCGCCTCTGACCGCGAGCAAATATGTATAGGGGGCGCGCAACCGTGTTGCAACGAGGGCGAGCGCAAACACGGTGGCCTCGGAGGGTCGACCGAGCATGGCGACGACCACGATTCCATACGATACGATACGATACGATACGATACGACGCGATACGATCCACGAGTCTGGTCGAAAATCGTGGCCCTGGGAAAGTAGGCTGGGAGCCGCTTAAACGCCANTGTGGCCGCTGGGATCGAGTGTGGTTTCGGGAAAAGTAGGATGCGAAGGTTTAACGCTGGGCTGTGGGAACACAGAGAAGGAAGGGGAGAAGGGGGAGGGTAATCCGTTGCAGGCAACGGACCGGCGGGGGAGTTTTCTAATTTGAATGTTTGATGTCGGATCGCCTTTTGTTTCCGGCCCGGGCCACGCCGCCACCGAGAAGAAATAAGAGCAGTTACATCTCTCGTCCCCTCGCCACTCCTCTCTACCTTATCCATTGTTTCCCACCTGATACTCCTCTCTCTCTCTCTCTCCGCTACCATTTCTCACCCTCCTCTCGCTTCTCTCCAGCGATGGAATCAATCGCGTCGCGAGAACGCGTGTTTTCCTAATCGGATCGGAGTTTAAGATCGAGCGGTTAAACAGAGCGGTTGATCCCGTTCGAGCACGAGACAGCATGCTTGAATTTTCACGATGAAAAGTTATTACGAACTCGATCTCGCCCCGCTTTCTTTCGCCATCCACTCGACGCCGCGACGAGTTCCCTCCTCCTCTCATTCTCCGATCTAGATTTCATTTTTTAACCTTCCATCGAGGTTCCACTGCGCCATCACCCCGAGAATCCTCGAGAATCCGAAATGACGATAACGGTCGAACGAAGGCGAAAATTACGATATCCCTGGGTATATATATATATGTATCTACCCACTTTCTTAACATCCCCCCTGCGATCTCCAATTTCCACGTTTAATGGATTCCGCGCGCAACGTGTATTTTTATCTTCTCGCGGCACGGAGCGGCGATAAAGCCAATTAACCCCGTGTAAATGCTAATACGGGACAACGGGCCGGTCCATTGTAACCGGCGCTCGTTACGAACGCCTCTTAAAACGTCGTAAAAGTTACTTTTGCGACCTCTGTCTATTCCCCCCTCCGTCCACCTGAACAGGCCGCTTGTGCCTCGACGTTGGATCTCGTTCTCACGTACCGACTCGTCGCGTAAAACCCGCCAACCACACGTATCCACCGCCCGCGAGTACAGTTTCGGAACCGCGCTCCTTCCCCTCCCCATTTAAATGCTAATGTCGGCTCGGCCGAGTCGTGCGAGTTGGGGAGGGGAGGAGGAGGCGCGCGTGGACGGGAGNAAGATCGAGAAGTTTGCGATGGAAAAGGAGTGAAATACGCGTGGACGTGGACGACGACTCCTCACGCTGCCTGACTCGCAACGTGGAGAGATAAAAGGGGGAGAGAAACGGGCGGATCTTTCGATTCGCGATCCGTCTTACAGAAATGTGCACTTTGGAACGATGGTAAAAACGACAGTTCTCTTTCTCTCTCTCTCTCTGTTTCTCGAACGTACCGTTTCAAATCTACTTTTCGTCGTCCTTCCAACGACGTTCTTTTTGCCTCCTCTTACTTCTGCTCGCGACACTTCTCTCCATTTCGTATCGGATCTTCCGGATCTGGATTTCCGGACGTGGAAAGAAGCGCGCCGTGTCGCTTTTTTCTCGACCGTTCGTATAAATTGTAATACGTTACGGATCGGGTTGATCGATCGCTCGAGAGAGAGAGAGAGAGAAGAAAAAGAAAGAAAGAAAGAAGGGAAGAGGCAGGACGAGGTATCGTGTCGTTTTTATCGCATAAATAACGCAACACCGTTTTTCGAGAACCGTTGTCGAATCACGGATTATTAATGCTTCTCCGTCGTTCGAACGTAAGAGAGACGAATAGCTCGTTCCGCCGTACAAGCCGCAACGTTATCGAGAAAACTTGCCGCCCCTTCCTCCTTGTACAGGTGTACGNGAAGTCCACATTCTCGGATTTACTTTTATTCCCCGATATATCTCTATTTCGGTTTTACACCGATCTTTCCCTATCTTTCTCGGCCTCGGATATTCAATTCCCATTTATCCGCAAGTTTTCTCGCCGGACTGATAAGACTCGAGAAGATTTCGTTATCTCGAAACCCGTCGTCCGTGAAGATTGTTTTTTTTTTCTTCTTTTCTTTTTTCTATCTCCACGCATTTTTCTTCGAGAAATTGCCTTTTTTTCCCTCCTCTTCGCACGAGTTCGCTTCTTCTCGCTTCTTTCGAGCAAGGTGTCATGTATTTCTCTCGGATAGGAAAAAAGAAAGAAAGAAAAAGAGAAACGATCCGAACAATCGTTATCGCACGAATAGCCACGATATCGCAAAGGCTATTCGAAGGAACGACGACGCATCTGACGGCTGAGAAGGCCGACTCGACTCCGCGTTTAAACGCGGCCAAGTTTGCCAAGCGTTGGAACGAAAAGAGATTTTTAGCGGCGCGTTTCAGCCGCGAGAGAAATCCTCGTTAAGCACGAACCTAGCTCGAGGATGCGCCTGTTATTGGGCCGGTTCAATGCCAACCGCGCGTTGGATTTCGCGCCAAACTCGCCCGTCCAAGGAAAACGCGTATCCCGCGCTTCGAACGAGGCTACGAAACGGAACGAAAATTGCGAACAAGTAGCGACGCGACGAGAGGAGGGGGAGAGAGAGAGTGGGAAATTCATCGAATTTCCCCCGAGGATTCGTCGAACCAGTTTGGGTAAAATAGGTTTCATCTCAATTTTCGGTTCGAAGGATTTCTTTCCGAGCCAACGTAGCAAATGAAATTGACTCCGCGAGAAGATAGAGGCCAACCCATCGAATAATCGTCCCTTCCACTACCTTTCGATTAGCCCTCGAGAGAAACTTTTCCCCGGTTCCTAATAATAAGAGAGATCCTCTCCTCTCTTTCTCTCCGAGATCTCTTTTAACGAGGCGTCGAACGAGGATCAAATGTTCGAAAAAAGAGAGAGAGAGAGAGAGAGAGAGAAGATCCAGGTTAGCCCCTCCGACTACTCACTTGGAATATCCCGAACGCTGTGCCGAGGTGTTCATTTGTTCGCGCGACCGTCGTCGTCACGATCATTACTCTCTCCAGGCCTCCCTCTTTCTCTCTTCTTCCTCGCTCCTCCTCGCGCCCCGGACGCGCAATACCTTCCCGCT